TCCCCCCTAAAACAAACAATATTTAGTATTTTTTAAAAAGACATTTAGGTATAGCAGGGTAATAAAAAATATGTTATGCTAAGGAAACCAGCCATCATACACATTTAACCCAACCACTGTGATCCATTATTAAGCTGATGTTCAGTAAATCTGTGCAATCATCAATACTATGAATACCGTCTCTCACATCATAAGAATCACGTTGTACGGCTGCAAATCTCTTCAGATGACAGACAGTGGACTGTCCACTTTCCATGCATGTGATGAGTGACTGACCCAAAGAGACCCGGATGTCGAGTCTGTAGCGCACCTCAAGAATAAACAGTGTGGCTGCAACCTGTGAGGCAGCATGCAGTGGTTGACATGCGGGTTAGTAAGAGGATTGTAGCGCAAAAGGGTGGGGCTAAGATGCATGTGAAACCCCAACCAGCTGAATTACAGTCTGCCTTAACATGGGAGCCAGCCCCCGGGGTTAACAGCATCATCTTTAAGTAGTCAGTGGCTCCCTAGCGTTCAACCAAATCTCCCATTCGTCAGCTTCAAAGCCCATACACGTCTCTTGTGAGACTGAATGGCGTCATGCCATTCTGAGCACATCTAAAGCCAGGCGGACACTGTACAGACAGATTTTACACCTAAATCACCTAAGTCGTCCCTAACTATTTTAAGATTGGGCTTCTGGATGATTACTTCTGGACAATCTGATGAATTTCTGGTATGTCAAAAATTTTGGTTGGCTGTCTTGCAGTGTGACCAGGTCCACAGGTCCACAATAACTGTGTTTCCACCATCAGAACCTAACAAGTGGTACACCCCATTGTTCCCTTAACTGTCACCCAGAATAACTTTACTTTTCCACTGTATCTTCATTCTGTTGGTCTCGTTTTAAAGGAGGGAGGGGCTGCGCATCACTCTCACACACAGCAGAGGGAGAGCAGAGGATGTCAAGGATCACTCTATAGTGCAAAAATCAGCCAGTAACACAGACTGTATGAAAAGTTTATCAAGCTGCTGTTGAACAAGCTGTTGAGTCTCAATAGTGGGGGGGAGACTGCTATTCTTCAGCTGTACAAAATCAAATGGCTAAAAGTTGCGTTGTTTTATTTTTTGTTGACATCAGCTTTGAGGATGCGGCCATCTTGTATGAATAGAACATTTTTGGAACTGTTAATGAACACACACCTGTGGGGGGGTATGGTGTGAGCACTCACATCGTGCTGAGGCAGAGTGAAAGCATTAAGGCACCTTAAAAGGAAAAACCCAACAGAATATATGACTTCTCACAGGTGACAGAAGCAAATGCAACACTGAAACAGCAAACTGTTGTATGTTTAGGCAAATTTTAGTACTGGATCCAACTCCTTATTGGCAGATATCCAATATTAAAGAACTGGGATGAGAGCCAAAAGAAACTGATCAGGTCATCCCCAGTACACAGTATTGTGCATATGCAAGAATACACTGCACCTCAAATTACATATACTAGTACAGTAACTGATGATTACCTATGTATTAGCATAAGACTAAACAGGATATCTATAGTGTCCAGTGCTTTTGTATTCAGGACTAGTAAAAGTATGTGTTGTAGCTACATTATTATACACTACTGAATAAAGTTACATTTGTGAGCTTGTAAATTAATGTTGATAAGACATCTTCCATATTGATAAAGTTGATTTTAATGCTTAAATCCAGTATGTGTCAATATTGTGCATGTACCATAATCCACATCCTATACAGTACTACTACTATGAGATACTTTCTCTAGAACATGCAAACCCAGTTTCAATCACATGCAAATCATAATTTAATAAAGACCAGAACACAATATAATATATAGTTATTGCTTGTCTCTGGTTTGTGTGAGCTACATTATTACTATTATTTTGACATTTGGTGGGCACATGTTAGAGGCAGCATCTTATTCCAAGGAGGCTGCAGAGGATTAGACTTTCACGGTAGGTGGACTCAACATAAACTGGCCTGTTTTTCAAACTGGACCCTAAGAAATGTTCTGAGGTGTTTTTGACGTTGACATTCTCCACTGTGCTCAAATTTCATGAATCTTTAAATAAAAATAAATTCAATGTTGACGCTTTTTGGCCAAGCAGTAGCATAACTGATCAGTTAATGGGCAACAGGAGAGAAATGACTAAAATGAGAAAAACAAAACAAGATTTTAGTCTTTTTTTCCTAAAGGAAATTTCTAATCAGTGCTGTATTTTCTACTACAAGGCATACTATGGTGATAAACCAGACTAAACAAATCCATGTAAACATGGAAAGTATGTCATTCGCGTTTGAATTGGACACTTCCCATCAGGAAAAACAAAGAAAAAGTGCAGGAAACATAAAAGTTCCTTCAGGGCCCTGACACACCAGCTGTCGGCAAGCACTGGGTCATTTTTGAATGTCTCTGGCCATTTATTGTCCATTGTGTCTGTGATGCAGTTTGTCTGACAGTTTACTCTAGGCAGATCTCACAGTAGCAGTCTGGCCAGCTCAGCATATTAGCTAGTAAGCTCTCTGACTGACCATTTGGACGTTTTTCCCTTGTTGACAAGCAAACAATCATTTTGTTCTGTTTGACAATGAGTGTGAAGTAAGCAGTAAAAATATAGCATTCATGTTACAAAGCAATATACATGTACACTTGGCAGTGTTTTGTTGTACTACGCAGTCTGCTGATAATCTGAATACATCGTAAGAGTAAAAATTTGCTCAATATCTAATCCGATATTTTACACACATGGAACGACCGAATATTTGGCCAACTCACAAGTGCAGAAACTACTCTGTATGCTGTGTAACAACAACCAGAGGTGCTAAGATGCTACCTGATATCACACAACCCATTTAGTAGCTCAGAAACTGTAGTGACTGACTGGATTCAACCATTACTACCTCTATTATGTGACAATGTTTATCAAGCACAGCTTTGGATTTGCCTGCTGAATGACTGTTCTATCCTGTTCATCAATGTGAACTGCAACTGATCAAATTCATGTTTGACAACTTGTAAGCATAGAGACACAGCTGAAGATACAATGTGTGCAAAACAGTCGCATGATCAATTACCAGAAAGATAACATTTTGTTTCTATTCAGCATCACCCATTTGTGAAGTAATCGTTTGCTGGGAAACCAGCCTCCAGGGCCATTATATAATGAATTTAGATGTAGTTAGCCATAAAACTGTCAAGTGATTACACATTAGAATGATGCCAGGCCAGCTTTTAACTGTTATAATGGGAGAACATACTGCATATCAGAAACTGAATATGTAGCTGGAAATATTTCTTCTGTTCAAATGTTCAAATATTCAACATACCAATTATGATCTGGTAAGACAAATACATCCCCACTTTTGGGTTTAGGAGGAAATAAATACACACTGGGTGAGCCTAACTGTTAGTAGACTATTTTTACTGTCACGAAAACCAATGAATTGGGTGGCTGGGGCTCAGGAGGTAGAGCGGGTCGATCAATCAGCTGGAGATTAGAATTAGCCGGTCTGATTCTGTACTGGTCATATTTACACGCACGACGGTCAATGTAATGCACACAGAGGCACAGACCAAAAGCATACTGTGTGCAGCACGTAGCATCTTATGAGCACCTTGTGCTAGGCTCACACTCGTGTCTATACATGGCACATTTTCACTGGAAGAGCTTGGTGTACAAAGAGTGTGCAGAGGAGCTTACAGAAACACCTTGGAGAAGGGAAAACTACGGTCCAAAGGTCTGACAAATAGCACCCAATGAAAGAATTACTGGCTACACATAAAATGCATATATATGTACAGTGTATTCAACCCTGGCAAAACACCAAATAAAAACTACACACACTTTAAAATGAACTGCATGTTCAATGGGATTAATGTAATAAACATTCTGTTTCTTACCTGTTGCACCTGTTTCTATTTGAATAACTACAAATACTGCACTTAATTTATGGTTGGAGATTTGTAAAGAAAAAAAAACCCTGTAACTTGAAGCAGTTGTTACTTTTAGATTTGTTTGCGTGAGAGAAAGATGGAAAATGATTAGCTTATTTAATACAATGTTTTATTTTTATTGCGATTTAATTTTTCATTTAAAAATTTACAATCATTTTTGTGTATGCTGTCAGTTTAGGTTCTTAGGAAGAACAATAAAAACTAAGTTGGCCATACTCGGAATCAGCAGGTCAGACTTAGAACAAAACTGAAAATCAGAATTGGCCAAGAAAATTGCAGTTGGTGTATCTCTAGCTGAAATGTCCAGCTTCTTCCAGTCCAAATGGTGTGAATGCAAACTTGAGCAAGCCTGAATAACAAAACTAATCCTAAACACAGGCAACTGCTGGATCATTATGTCTCGAGCAAAAAAAGTTATGGTAAGATACTGTATTTGGATTTAAATATTGGATCTGGAATTGATCCCACAACTTCTCTTCTGAAAATTAAATACACTGTAAACTGCAGGAATTGAAATCTTCCCATTTATAACAGCAAATAAAGTAGTAGTCTTATCAAACAATGAGAACTATGAATATTTTACAAACCCAACTGAAAAAAAGAAAACTGAATGACAATTTAATAATCTACAATAAATGCTGAATTACTGATATTTCAGTGAGAAGGTCTTTGATTCAAATGTCTGTTTAACCCCACAACCAAAAACACAAGCGCCTGCTGCCAGTAGAAGTTGCTGAAGGCAGCTTTAGTGTCTAGGAGACAGCTTCTTATGACAGAAAGCTATACTGATTGTGTGACTTCTAGCCTGGAGGAGGGTCATGACAGAAGGGGGGAGAGGAAGATAGAGAGAGGGAGGGGATACAAGGGAGGAAATAAAGACAGCAGGAGATGGGAAAAAATAGCCCTGTAGCCTGACAAGCCTCCAGATGCATGATGTGCCTTCACCTCAATCAGTCCTTTTGTTTTTTGTTTTTTGTTTTTTACAAGATGTCTTTTCACTTCTAAAGGGCATGTGAGGGGTGAGTTTAAGAGAACCACTTACCCATTATGTTCGAGTTCATAAAAGGTGTTGGGGACAATCCTTCATGGGACACTAATCGACTGTCACTCAAATGATCGCCATAATGAGGGCTGCCTGTGAAAGCCTGGGGGGGAAGAGATCAGAATATTAAGCACATTATTTGGCAACTTCATTAATTGAATGCTGTAGTATACCACTAATTACTAATTACAGGAGAGCACAACTTGGTTGGTTGGTTATGTCATTAAACTGTCCACTCTCTTGTTCATAACAGTAATAGAAAATGAAAGAGAAAGAAAAGACTAAATGTTCTACTGTAACTGACATTTTAACTGTTGGTACACATTAATGGATTAGAAACTCATCATACATTCACACTGATATTCCTGTTGTTTCCCATAAAGATGCAATTATTCAGTGGACTTCTTGTGTAGACAACAGTGAATGTGAAGAAAAGCAACAGCAAGATAGACACCACCATCCTAAAAGATTAATGTTAGGATGACAGTTTTTAAATCTTTTTTATATTATTATTTAATTGTTTATATCTTAAATCCCTCTTTTCGAATGTACTTTAATGGGTGTTTTTCCTTTTTTTCGTCTAAACCACTTTGTTCTACATGAAAGGTGTTTTATAAACCAAGTTTACTACTATAATTTTAACTTCTTTCACACATCATACCATCGGGAGTGAATATACTGTATCAATAGTAAAATGTATTTATAGTATAGGCTACTTGAAATAGTTTGTCACTATTTAATTGTAATGAGCCACTTTTCATGTCTTGGAATAAAAAGTTCTATTATTTAGTACTTTTCTACATTAAACTTGCACCCTGTCCATATTTTTGGGTCATTTCGAAAAAGATTGAAACCTCTTTTTTTTAAAGTTTTCTTTTTATCTCTGATAACAATACACAATTTCATGCATGTAGTTCATAAGAAGGTGTTTCAATTGAAGGGTAAGAAACAGAAAGATGCAATCCGACATCATTTCCAGGTACCTGCGGCTTTAAAAATTGTCTTTTTCTCCTGCAGCTTAACAGTCAGTGCCTTTTCATGACAGTTATCAGCTTCGGGGGCTTAGGTCTAAATATCGGTCACAGTATGGTTTTTGAAAACTCTGGGTCCCATGTAATAAAAGATACTCCGTTACAGTGCTAATCCCAAGCCCTGTGAAAATCCTCCTGTGCTTCAGTCAAATACATTTCCACAAACTACATTAACTCTGACCAGAGGGACCGAGCAGCAGTGGGCTTGCATTTCTATAGCTATTTTCACCAACTCATACCCTTTGCATTCAACATACAGTAAAAAAAAAAAAAGTAAATCTTATTATCCGTCTTTTTTTTATGAGTGGATGGTGATGAAGTAATTTCAAAGGCAGCGGAGTGCTGTGCTGTGTCGAGGGAATCCTCAGAGATTCCCTATTGTGCTCATGCCAGGCCGCACACACTGTTAATCACACCATGAACAAACTCAATAACAACAACGGCCCCGTGAGACGCTCTAGTTAACACGCACAGAGATTTACACAGAGTACACAGCTAACCTAAGCAAGGAAAATCATTCTCTCTTCTACAGCAAAACAAGAAAAATGTTTCAGACTGAACACTTAAAATAATAGTTAAACATTTCGTGAAATACTAATTTGCTTTCAGAGTTCAATGAGAAGATTCATAACCCTCTTACACTGTCCATTAAATATGAAGCTACAGCCAGCGATTGGTTAGCTTAGCTTAGCATAACCAGCTATTCTGGTTCTGTTCAAAGCTTAACAATATCAAGTGGCACCTCTAAAGCTCAGTTTAATCTAAACAAAAAAATTGAAGTATAAACAGAAAAATGCTAAGAAACAGTCCAATGCTGTGTCCACACCAAAAGCATAGCATGACCCTCATGCTAGAATCATGTTTGTGTCTATACAGGGCATGTATTCACTCACGCACTTGAAGCACCTTGTGCAGAAAAAGCACAGAGGATTCAACAGGAACACCTGGGAAATGACTGAAAACACAACACTTTTACGTCTTGAGCAGAACTAGATAAAAAAAAAAACAACAAAAAAAAAACACAACACTTTAAAATGAACTGTATGTTCACTAGGATTGATAGATCACATATCTCTATTTTGGTGGAATTCTGGATGGAACTGAGAGCTTTCATTGTTTTAGTGGATTTCTGTTGAACATTTACATGCATGAAAAATAGACTTGGTCGCGGATATGTCTGTAATGTGAAATGGATAGGCGAGCCAACAGACAAGCAGCTGGACTAATTAAAATAAAAGCATATGGGTTGCATGACATGCACGTCTAAAAAACATGGCTGAAATGCTTTAGGGGTAGACACAGCATAACACTCTAAAGAATAACAAATTATTGTTCTTATACTTCAGTTCTTATGTACAGTTTAAACACTGACATAAAATATTAATTTGTGAGCTGTTTCCCTGTTTTCAGCCCGAACACTGGCTCCAGCCTTATATCTAACTGGCAGATGTGAGAGTCTTACTGAGTTTGTCTAGTGCTCCACAACAAAGCAAATAAGCATTTTCACAAAAAGTAAAATTATTTTCTCTGAAATAAATATTAAAAAGCAGCTGGTGGTAACGAACCTTTTGATCATTCACCCACAAGTCCTCTTTGTTTGTTGTAATTGCCACTGAGTAGCAGGAAAAGGCTAGCAGGTAGTGATGGGCCGATCCAATATGGAGCTCTTTCATTGCAATTAAACAATCAGTGTCAATAAACAAAATATTAAATAGGAGTAATGATGGTCAGAGTGAACTGGAATATAGATCGGTTCTGTCCATCTGATATCCAGTGAGTAAATGACGTCAATATCGGACCTGATACCAATATAGGATCAGATCGGGGTCATCTCTACTAGCAGGGTGGGTTAGCAGGGTATGAAAAACAGGTAGGGGCACAAAAAAACTGGTAGGTGGATAATGGTGACTCCAGGCTCACTGAGTCTGTGTGTGTGTGTGTGTCAAAGTAACCACACAGTGTTTTCTCCTCTGAGACCGTTTGCTCATCAATCACAGATCCCTCATCATTCCCAAACACTGGTGGCCTTCATCTCTGAGACACTAACACACACTGTCATTGCTGCCACAGAGCTACATTAGCACTCCTGGCTAAATAACTGTCAGATCACTGTGGCAGCATTCAGGCCGAATCTCACACCTTTTCCCCAATCACTTGCCACAGCATTTAAAAAGTCATCTCCACCACGCTGTGTGTTGTATCCCAGGTGAACGTGTGGCTGCATGTGGCAGCTTGCAAAGTGATGATATGGTCATGATGGATGCATGTGGGGTTGAGTATCAAGTTGGGGCGGGACACTGGGGAAGTGGGGGTTGTCATGCAGTGGCGGGGGGGACAGGCCCGCATGTCCCCCCAGCCACAGCTGCCCAGGATACAACGGCTGGCTGGGAGCCAAGGTCAGCACAGCAGGGCTCAGGACTGTTCACAGTTGACTGATCACACACTCGTAGCACACCAGCTCAAACAAGCTCAGGGACAAGACTGAATTCCCTTTGTAACAGACTGAAAGATGAAGCACTGAAGCACTTTGGACAGATACTGTAAATACAGCATAAATTGGGACATTTTTAAAAAATATCTAGGTCTTTAAATTAATTATTAGACTCTTCTTTAACAAAGTAATGAAATTAATCGAGGCATTAAGAACATCCCATGTCCAGGGACAAATTTTCACCTCAGAAAAGAACCATATCTGTGTTTGTCCTACAGTGAAATCCCTACCTTTCAAAACCAGAAAAAAGTAGAAATTGAGGTCTTGGATACAAAGATCTCTGCAAACATGCAAAAACAGCTTCTTTAAGATTTATGAGGTGAAACGAGGTCTGTATATTTCCGATAGGTGTAAATGTAAGCTTCCTGTTGCTTTTTCACTCATTACTACTTGAACATACCTACTGAAACTCTAAATAAAAGGTATCTTGTAGACTTTTCTAGTAAACATTACAATCAGTACTCACCATAACACACCTTTAATTATCCTTGTGGTATTAAACACTTTGAATGTGTCTCCTTTATCATTAGTGGCATTACAAGTATATATCCAGAATGATACATTGATATGAAAAAATATATCGTGATAATTAGGGATGTAAGGATACCAAAAGCTCAAGGTAGAATACTGTCACGATACAAAGTCCACAACATGAATTTTGTCATGATATTAAAATTGAAGAAAAAAAAAGACGAAAAATGCATTTTCTAAATATGTTGACATTTTTTTGTATGATTTTCCTTTTAACTTAAAGCGCTCCTGCCTCCCTTCTTTATTAAAATAAAAGTAGCCAGCCATGACCTAAGGATGCACACAAAGTCACTGGCACTGAATGACTGAACTGTTCGTACAATTGCGAAACAAAATCTGATACAGCAGTCAGTAGCAGTAAAATGAAATAAATATATATAAAGCCTTTACTGGAAGTGTTTTTAAACTATGTGGTTTACTTTTCAAGAAAAAAGATTAACGGTGGTTAATAAGTGGTTGGTGTTGGATATGTGCGAACAGTTTGTTCGCCCATCTCTGTTACAGTATTGCGCACAGCGGTAACATGGACGTGTTTCTGCGAGATGTATCCAGAATTGTCTCTGTCCTAAATGGAGCTACTATTGCGTTTGTCTAGCAGTATTTGAAAATTGTTCAGTGTTTGTCAGTTTCCGTTCGTGTCGCTTCTTGAAATGCTGCCACATAACAGCTGTGAGAGTCAACAACAGAGGATCCCCTGATGCCCATTTCAAATTCTGTGACTTGAATGCAGTTATACTAGTGAAATAACCTTATGCAATATCCTGTTAGATACTGTCAAAGTCCCACAGCATTTTCAATAAAATGTTTTTGCCATGATACCACAAAATTATGAATATCATTACATTCCTAGTGATAATATTTTTGGCCATATTGCCCAGTCCTAGTAAGCTTTATTAGGCTATGCCAGTCAAGTCTCTATCAGTATAATGTGAGGAAGCAGCTGTGCGTGTGAGTGTGGCATGTCAGTGTTTTGTGTGGACATCTTACAGAGGTGCAAACAGATGTCTGCTGGCTGATGCTGTGTCTTGCAATGTCAGAAACACTCATTTATATGCACCTGGAGCAAAGATATTTCAAGTGTCTCTGTCTTCTAATTCAAAACAAGCCGCCTATGTTACATAGCCTGTAGATGTTCATTCGGGAAGGGCATAGAAAAATAAACAAGGTAACGCAGCCCGGGTGGCTCTGACATTTAACTGATTTCTAATAGAAAGTGACAGGAGATTGACATTAAATGAAATTCATACCGGGCATCTAGAACAACCAATGTGTGAGGGACAAACCAACAAGGGGGAGAGCTGTTCACACTTGCTCACACAAGCAGCAAGATCTTCTCACTTAAACAAAACAACAGGGATGATGCCTAAACATACAGTTTTACTGTTTTATCTATGTCTTTATCACACAAATGCATAACATTTGAAAAATATTTTGAGGATACGAGTTCCCCATTAAAAAGCACCAATCATCCGTAACAGACTATGTAATCAAACAACAACCTGTATGACTGTAATGAATTTCTAACTCCAATATCTTGGTTAATATCAATCATTTCCACTGCTTCAAACCTATTTTTAAATGGAATTCCCATTTTGTTCTTTTGTGTAAAACTGTGATCACAAGCAAAATATAATAACACAATTTAAGAATTAAACCAATTGCTCAGCTACATAGAAAATTGCTTTTCTGCATTGTGCAAGGAAAAGTCCAAGTGTAAGACAAAATGTTTGATTTTGCTTCAAACCAGCTTCATATCACTCATGGACAAAGAACTGTACAGAAAATAGCTTAAATGTATTTGTTGCAATGCATTTTTTAGAAAATGTTGCAGTGAATAAGTTGGTTCATTTAGCCCTTGCATGAATCACTGTGAACCACTGGCACTACACTGCCTTGTTTCAACTCTGTTGCTTAAACATTTTCAAATGTTCAAACAAATGCACCTACTCAGTCTATGGCTCAGCATACTAAACTATTAATCAGTTAAGTGAGAGAATATAATGAAATAATAATGAAAATAATAGTTGCCATTAGGGCTGGGCAATATGGCAAAAATATGGTCTCTATAGCTAATTTCTTCTTCCATGACAACTGTAAAGGGGGTGAAAATTTTTTTATAACTCGCCCATTTAAATTAAAGTGAGACTAAAAGTTACACATAATTAAGGGCGCGGCCACTTTAACTGACAGGGAGGGTCCGGCCACTGGTGGCTAGCTTGATTCTACCCATTCAGCCCGCCTCAGCTCCACTCACACGCCGCCTCTTTGCCAATTTTTGGATTAAACGTAGCAGGTGAAGTGAAGATGGTGAAGGATAGACTTGAGCTTCAAAACCACTCTTCAGAAAATCAGTGGGTGATGTCACATTGGGTATGTCCAGCTTTTATATACAGCACATTTAGTACTTGCGATAAGGTTACACTAAAACATTGTGAATGTCCAACTTTGATGCAATAAGTATTAAATGTGGTGCTGTGGAGCAGAAAGGCCATTCAGAGAAGTAAAGGAGCGGGTCATCTTACCCGGGAGGACTCATAGGAAGGACTGGACTCGCCACCTGGGGCCCAGGATGCTTGGTTGGTCCGCTCATCCATACCTGTCACAGAGACAGACACACAACTCGGTCAGCAAATCAGGGTTACTCATATAAAATACATATTTACATTCTCTGTATATGTCTGTCTCTCTCTCTCTCTCTCTCTCTCTATCTCTCTCTCTCACACACACACACACACACACACACACACATACATACATTGAAGAAGATGTGAAAAACTGAATCACAATACTGGCCATTAAATACACAATTTTATGCAGTGTCCCTGTGTTTGGGTTTCACAGTATGTTTCCTGTTGAGTGTTTCAGAGTGGTGCATAACAATGTTCTCAGACTGTCTTTCTTGTATCTTTTCCCTATGCTGTACTGGTGTGTGGACAACAACAAGTGTTTCCTATGAGTTCCCTGAATGCTACCTTAAATAAATGTGAGGCAGAAAATATTCTTTTCCTTCCTATGCTCAGTCTATTTAAATAATGGCAGTATATTGTAGACAAAACCTTTAGAGGATTCATTGACTGGATTAAATGACTTTACTTTTCTTTCTTTTTTACATGTGTATCTAATGCTGTTCAAGATTTTATAATACTGTGAATTAATAACTACATTAGACAATTTTAACAGATGAAAAATAATTATTAAAGGTTAGCTGCATCACCCACTGGCAGCCAAAATTAAATCCTGATATTCACTTGCATTCTAGAGAGGTGACCTAAAGATAACAGATTAAGAAAGCAGGCATAGGGCTGGATATGTGATCCAAATTCCTTAATATGCTTCAGTGTACCAAAAAGGATCTTGCATCTCCATGATTTGGCATTGATGTATGCGGGGCTACTTCCAAACAGCTGAGCTCTAAAACTGAATAAATCTAATTTTTCATTTAAGAAAAACTGCTGTGTTTCAGAAGTCTAACAGATAAACAAATAAAATCAATTATTCCAACCAAACTGTAAAGCTAGACCATTTGGCATATGCTGAAAAATATAATATCTGATCTTTACAATCTAATATATTTGATGTAGTCATAAAAGACATTTTCATGCTGGAATTGTTCTTGCTGTTTGAAACAATATTCTTTTGCAGCCAAAGTCCCCACAAACAAAATATAATTGCAGAGCAGGTAAAGCCTCAACATTCTCCAAGTTATTGACTGTCCCTGTTGTAATTTCATCTGTCTCAGTAAATTGCAATAATACTGTCTGTTCACTTTCAAGCTAAAAAAAAAAAATCTGATTTAACCAAACTGTGTATGTTTAGAAAATAACAATAAACTTTTCAATATTAGAGATATTGTTAACCTTAAAATGTAAGGTGCCTCCCTACAGCAAAGTTTGGCGATGGGCATACAATCTAAGGAGCAGGTTTTACATGACTGAAACAAACAACTACAATAAAGGCAGAAGTAGAATCTGCACAGCACAAAAAGACCAGGACTGTAATCAAAAATGATGAAAATGTGGTATGGTTTTAAGAAACTAGCACCTGACTTGATAAATTATTAGATCTGCAGATGGAAATTTTACAGTACAGTATGCATACATTTTCAACTGCCATACTGCCCATGAATTTGTTTCGTGAGAAACGTCTCTTGCTGTAAATCTAATTATATACTTAACCAGAAAGTCTATGACATTTCTCTAACCAGAAGTCATGCTCCAGTGGGCAGAGCTATAGTTAGGTTTCATCCTGACAAACATGATGTTTTGCTTCTAACACACAGCAGATTCATTTCCTCTTCTTCAGTAGCTTAATGGAAAAAACATATAGGTAATCTGTCGCACTTTCATTATTAGCTGGGTCATCATTCACATTCATCACTCCGATTCTTGTGTTACCAACTGGTGACTATGAGCAAACGGGACCAATTTTAATGTGTCAATACCAGTGTGGCGTATTGTACCCCAACTGAGGCCTTTCACACACAGAAGGCAATAATGGTCAGTGCTTGCTCACTGGGCCACTGGCTGTCATCTTGTCTGATTACCATCTCATACCAGAGCTCAAGGGGCCCTTCTCTGCTCCTTGCACCAACAGTCAGCACAGTAAGATTACTCAGTGACACAACAGGTTAAAGGAACAAACATAAATAGACTGCAATTTAAATTAAATTGGAAAACTAAAGCTGTAATTTCAATGAAACGGGTTTGTAGTATTGGACTTGCAGAGCGCAGGCGTATTAAAAAAAAAACTTTAAAAAAAAAGAAAAAAGAAAAGATAATCAACAATGTCAGCATGAGCCATACTGTGGATACACCTTGTATTCCTAAATGTCCTTATAAATGTGATGCCGTGAATTTTTAAAGCCTGCCCACTGTAAATAAGAGATGCACCAACATTTGTACAGCTGAGAGGTCAGGACGCAGGGCACAAGATTTTAGGTCTGCTGAATGAAGCTTTACTTTTCTTTGGCACAATATAAATCATGTCTGCTAAGACAAAGATGACTCTTAGAGCTCATGTGTACAAACAAGATTCAGAAGAGTGACCTTTGCTTTGCACATGAAATGCCATTCTGCAATATTCTACAAAATACATTATGTATGGCAATGAAGAGAAATGTCTCTGGGAAATTGAATGAGAAGAAAAATCAAAGATGAATGAAATTGTCTTAATGATATGATTGTTTTCCTATACAGTTTAAAATTTCTTGTAAACTTGTAGTGAAAATGTGGTGCTGGAGGGCTAGCAGAGTAAGCACAGCTGTTGGCTATCATAACTGACTGCGCCTTTCTTGGAGTCTCTACTGGGCCATTCATAAGCAGCTGCACCCTCCTCACGCACCTAATTCAGTAAAAACCCATCCAACAGAAAGACTAAGGCCTGTTTTTGTACAAATGCAAAGATCACAGAGACTTTAATGAAATACTCCTGATGTAAGATCATGCAACAAGGCTGAAGCATTGCTCAGCAGGAAAAAACAAATTTCAGATTGTTTAGTCACATCTTCTCCATTCTAATGTGCCTTCACACCAAACATGAATAGTTCAGTAAAAAAAAAAAGAACTCTGGTTCATTTCCCTGTGTAGTATGATTTGTTTGGGTTTGCTTTCTTGTTTGTCATTATTCATAAGAAGTAGTCAATCTGCAGTCTACTAATACTAATAAAATGCTCATGATCACATTTTTCATGAGGTCTTTGTGTCAGCAGAAAACATTAATAAACACATAAACATCTGAGTTCAGCATGGCTCACTGTTAGTGAGAAGACTTTGATTTCCACACTTAAGTTTGTGTAGCACTCATGATGCAGGATGACATCCAATAAACTGTCCATTTGGTGAGTTACCTGTCAGTCAGTATTACATCATATTTACTCCTCTTGGTTTGTTTGTAAAAAGTCAGTATGAACATGAACACAAGGACCAGAACTACCGTAATTTCCGGACTATAAGCCGCTACTTTTTTCGCTTCATGCACACACCCTCATCATGGAAAACGCATGATGAAATGCATATGATGCAGCTTTCAAGTTAAAGGCGATCGATCTGGCTGTCGAAATATCTCCTTACAATGTGTACACCTGCAGCTATGTACAAACTGTTTTTTCGTTTTAAATTTAGTGGGTGCGGCTTACATTCAGGTGCGTTCAATAGTCCGGAAAAAATGTATAATCGTTTTCTCTGGAAAACATGTCAAATTACTGATAAAACCAAATGAGCTCTGGATAATATAGAAAACTGTTAAGTAGAAGACCCAACAAAGTTGGATACTTAAACACAAAATGCTCACAATACCCAATGAATAAACCAGGCACTATGCATTCACAATTACAATCAAACTTTGAACTGACCAAAAAAAAAAATTCAGACACAGAAGTGAGCAAATACTGTATAAAGACAGAAGCCTAACTGGTGATTTAATGTTTCTGATATTAGGAGACTTTTCAATAGCAATAAATACATTCAGACACAGGCATCAGCTTCATCTATGACATACAATATTTCTGTCCTCCCCAGCTACACATATGAGAATCAGAATATTAGGAACACCTCTAAAAACTTATGGAAGTGGAAGTGTTGCATTGAAGTGCATGCAATTGTATAGTTGTAACTAATAAAGTGGTCGGTGAATGTATAATATGCCTAAATGAAATAAGATTTATGCCACAATGTCTCACAACAGACCACATTCACACACTAAACAAACCAACACCCACTCTTGCTTTGTTGAGTTGTAGGTTTTTGGCTCTGTGGGGTATAACGGTTTCTTGTATAAATGAACTGAGAGCAGAGCTAATGGTCAAACCAATGACTGCATCAGACACATGTATACAAATAATGAACATGAAGTAAAAACTCAACCAAACAGTTGGGAAAAACCAAACAGTTTTCAAGAGGACACGGGATAAGTAAAGGCTGGCGTCTCAGGCCTCCATTTCTCTGTGTAAATTACACTGACCCGACATTTGGAGCAAAACTGTCAAACCTTATTTTACTAATTTTTGCTATTTTCACAAATAGCATTAGATGTTGCTGCTTCATGTGATGAAGAACAATGCATAAGTTTGTCTTTCCTGTAATGGATTTGGTTTACATTTATTCATTAAAACTATCTTTATTTTACAGACAAAAGGTGATTCAAATAAGATTGTCATAAAGAATATTTAAAAGTCTGTCAATGAATAATTCAATCATTCGTAACCAGGCTGAGACTCCCACCACACTGGACTGCAGCCCAGGCTCTGTGTTGTGACAGGTCTTTGGATGACCCACCAAACAGCAGCAGGGTTCATCATAGCTGTGGCCAGTAATAAAATATGCAGTTTGTTTGTTTGTTTGTTTGTTTTAGGGGGATCCAAATGACTAACAAACCAAACAACACTAGCTGATGGTTATAACAAACAAGTGAACTACAACCCACTAAATGAAAATTCCCCATTTAGCAGCAGTCAACCACTGCCCCACTAAAGAGTCAATGGTTTCATCAAATTTGCATCATCAACACAGCTGGAAGGGAGAAATGACGAGTCTCTGTTAGAGCCACTCTGGTTATATTTTCCCATCCATCTTTGTTTGGCGCACTTTTGAAGGGTCCTGCCAGCCCCACTCTGCCTCAATTATGTGGCTATGCCCAGCTGAGATGCAATAATCCAAACTCTCATTCCCTGCAATTTCCACACTTGTGTCTGCACAGTCACTTGCCTTATGTTCACAATCACTTATAGGTACCTCTTCCTCTGCACTGAGGATCAGAGACACAGGAGCACACGCTGCAGGCTGATAGGAAGAGGGAATTACCCCCTATGGGCCAGATACACTCTAAGCTGCAGCACTTCATTTTGACATCTTCATCTTTCATATGAGGAGTTTGCTAAGCTTTGTCAAAATTAAATGATCACCAGTCCACATCTACCTGAGGTTGCAGTGTGACCACTTTTCAATAGTAGTGTATTTATGTCAAAATGTATGCATGCAGATGCAGGCTAAATTTAACCTCCTGAAATTATAATACACTCCAGAGTCAAATTTATGTAGGTGCTTGTCTGATGGAAAAATTCATGGTGCGTGATTCAGTTTCCTCAAGTTATTGCCACTTGGGATCAAGATCAGCCATAAAAATGCTAAAAAATTACTAACAAATTACTTGCCTTTCACTCTTTTGATGCCCTGTGCATATTTAGAATAAATAATTAATCAATCCACAACAGGATCTTCATAAGCGACAATACTCAAGATCTGATTTGCCATTCAGCATATATTCGGACATTTGAGGCTAACAATCACCGCAAGCCACAAGTCAAAGCTTTTTGTTCACATTTCAACACAGAAACAACAAATCATAGAATCATAGGACACTGATATGTGTAAGAATTGATAGTGATGCAGTTTGTTTTTATCAGTGTTTCCCTTAGAACAAAATGTATGAACCATCTTGTAAACCATCTTATATGAATACGAGAAATAAAATTTCACATGTAATTATCAGATTTTTATGAATGCCTCCCGAAACTAATCAATTACCAATGACTGCCAATTACAGTCACTGAAAGTCCACCAGCTTTCAAACTGTGAGGAAATGAGCCTATTAACTGCAGGTCTTCTTCGGGAGATTCGATATTGACTCTTCAAATCCTAAGATCAACCTTTCCATTTGCTCCTTTTCTCAGTAAACGTACAATTGCACTAAATGTTATGTGTATACAGAGGCTACCTGTTATACCGTTTGGACTGCATGGTGTGCCTGCTTTGTGGAAAACAAGTTGTTACAATGTACACAAAAATATTAAGTTATAAAACAACAGAGATGATAGCCGTGTTGAGTCATAACAGTCCATAAACATGCCACACTTTACGGACTGTCGTGACTGAAGGTGGTTAGCTGACTGCCTGGATGTAGCAGACCTAGATCTCATCGACAAGAAGGACAAACGGAAAAAGACTCTGAGCTCTTGGTTTGCTTTGTTGAAGAGATATTATCTCTGGCTATGAGATGTGAGGCAGTGGAAGTCGAGTGAACAGTGTGTGGATTCCACTATGTTCGGTCTGTTCCTGTGGGGAGCTAACACTAGCTAGCAGCTGTCCGCACATATCAGACTGATGTCAACACAAACAATGCAGATGAATCAGTTTGTCCTGTCTGTGCTCAGTTGTTGAAGTGGATGTATGGTTTGAAGCATCTACTACTATATGGGGAGCATTTATTTTTTAAATTATGCATAATGATAACGCCCTTGTTAGTGGCGCAGGCTTTTTTTTTATTACTCCTGCTTAACTGTTTTGCACATTTACCAAAAAAACAAACAAAAAATTGATATATCATGTTTTAGCAGTTTTGCATTTGTCAAGGAAAATAGATCTTTGATCCACAACAACAGAACTAGGAAATGCGTTTACAATAGTGTGCCATATATTGGACGAGAGGCAGGGTACACCCTGGACAGGTCGCCAGCCTATCACAGGACTGACACTTAGAGACAGACAACCACACACACTCACTCCTACAGTCAACCTAAGCTGCATGTCTTTGGACTGTGGGAGGAAGCCGGAGTACCCGGAAAGATCCCACGCAGGCACAGGAAGAGCATGTAAACTCCCCACAGAAAGGCACCGGGTTGGCCTGGCATCAAACCAGAACCTTCTTGCTGTGAGGTTACAGTGCTAACTCCCACACCGCTGTGTTGCCCTAAGTGAATCATTATGAAGCTAAATTAAATTAATGAAACCAAAATTGAACTGAATCAAAGGATGAGTATCAATATCCAGCCCAGCCATTACAAATAGTTGACCAAAATAATAAACAATATATAGGCTGACAGTTGATATTATATGGTTATTAAACGGTGACAAAGATACAGAGCAATGTCAAAAATACTTTAGTTTAACAGACCATTTTAATCAAAGAAATTGTTAACATTAGATCATAGTACCTGTCTAACAAACATCTTTAGAAGAAATTAAAATATTAGAAACAATTAACTTGTCTTAGGCTATGTATCATTTCTCCTAAAGTTATGCTCATATTTGTTTAGAATTTTAGTTGGAAGTGTTACAAAACAACAGCCCACGTTAAGACTTTGTTATATTTCTGAAGAACAGAGCTGATCACCAGACAACATGCGGTCATGACAGTGAGCTTGGGCTGTAACACACAATTATTCTGACAGTTTCCAATTCTTTTCAGTTCCAAACAAAAAGCAACATGCCGATCTACTTTACAAGTCACACAGTGTGGCCCTGCCTAAAGGTGGCTGTTATTACATTAAATCACGAGCCCCATACCAATGCCTTTTCGGTATAATACATGGCTGACATCGATGTTTAAGATCACGCACGTAGCGGTCATTCTAGTACAGTCACTATAAAGTTGACGCAGCTTGGTTTTGAAAAGACATGCACACTGTCCTTTATAACCTTCAAGAATGAAAATTTTCATTACATATCATCAGTCTGTTTTAAATATGACACAACAACCTAGCTTTCATTATACATGATAAGAAAATATACACTCAGTTATCAATGTATTAGAAACACCTGTATAATCTAATACAATCCAATAAAAAAGCTTAGAATACATCCTGTGGTTGACATTTTTTGTTGTCACTGGTTAAAAAAGAGTCAACTCCACTCTACAGTAATTTTAGAGATTGCAGTCAGTGGTGCTACTGTGCTAACACGAACATCTTTGTGGGACCCTCACCAGCAAGGTGCAACTTTTCTCAAAAACTCACATCAGTTTGACAAAAGTTTGCTTGTCATTTGTTTTTCATTCTACTCACTTGAATGATTAGGTTTTTTGAAATTCTTCCTCACAACTCCATAGTTTATGTGTGACAGCTCTGCTCTTGTTTCCTTGTCTTTTCCTTCAGATTCCACTAAGTGTGTGCCTTCATTTCACAGACAACTGGACCACAATGAGGCTTTGTGGATGCACACAAAACATGCTTTCACTAAACATAATGCTTGATTGTTGACTTTCTCTAGTAGCACATCTGACAATAGATGTGCTTTGAATTAATGTCATGTAGCATTTATAGCTAGGAAACAATTCAGAAGCGGGGAATCTGAACTCTTGTTATTACAATTAAACAACCCACGAACTTGTTAAACAATAAAGGTGCTCAGAGATAAGCAGAAAAAAGCAAAAAGATAAGATATGAAAAAGGCATTCCAGTGTGTGTGTGTGTGTGTGTGTGTGAGGGTTAGAGGAACTGAGTAATTACTAAACTGCTACATGTACAAAGACAAAACACTACAGAATAACTCAGTGAGAGGATGCCTCAACTTCATTAAACACCATTTCATAATAGGCTTCTGTTTGTGTTCACAAACAGAACAGACAAACATATCACTCAGATATGTTAACTAAGCTGATTCAAAATTTGTCTCCAACACACCTCTCATCAAGCCCTGAAAAGAACATACTGTATTGTTTCTGTGAAAACTTGGCACACTGACAACACACCTCGGTAACAGCAGCCAAAACACACCTGATTTATACCGTATTTATGCATCTGCCTGGCAAAACATGAATATCATTCACTGTATTACACTAAAATAATTACCCGAAAAAACATTTACAAGTCCATGGCATAAAACATGCTTTGTACTACATCTTTACTACAGCACTGCACTACAATTCCGGGTGGAGAGCTCATGTTTCAAGCACCAGATGTGAACACAAGCATCACACAAGATGGAAAGAATCGCATGCAAGACTGGAAATTAAGACCCTTTCCTTCAGCCTCCATTTATAAATAAACCAAAAACCATTTAACCAAAATTAGAGGTCAATAAACAACTTATTTTAGTCTGTAGATCTCTGGGTCATGCAAGCAGAGACAGAGAGACTACATATTAGAGGGTTTACTGAAATAGATTTGAGGGATCAGATCCTACCTGATGCACTGAACTGACTGCTTCCAAGTGTTGTGGGCCTGTTTTTCCCTCCACTTACAGGTGGAGAGAACATCTGAAAGGAAGAATATGGACATACACCTACAATTATAGCAAAGATTCAACTGTGTAAATGCAACCATTCATATGATCAGCTACAATTATCCCGAAAGCTGCTCATGATTTTCAAAAATCAAGGATTGCTTGTCAACACTCAAATCAAGTGATCTGTTAATCATGCTTTAGCCTATTTGGTCCTCGTATCTCTCATCCCTCAAAGCTGCATGGCACAAAAACGTAATAGTGTCCATCATACCGCGCTAAAATCCAGCAGGTCACTTAATTCCTTGTCTGTTCCAAGAGCGGCAATCCGCTGCTGAGGATTCATCCTGGCGATCTAGAAACCTGCAGAAAACACAGCCCATCAGCTCACATCGTTGCTGGTTTATTTAAGAATACCCGTTGTGCCACAGGAAATGACTGCGTGAGTTATTTGTTATGGATGCACAATAAAGACCACCACGGTGAAGTAAAGTTGACTCTGGCACTGCATCATATACAAACAATGACAGTGCGGTCATGTTATAATTGATCAAGTGATGTAATAATCTTTATTCAGACAGGTATTTTCTGAGACTGCATTAATTAAAAGGAGATAACGCCGTTAGTGGGAACGCTCTAGGGACCTGCAGCATCGCATTATTGCGCTAACAATGTTTCTCTTTAATAACACGACATGCCACCGCTAAGACATTTACCTAACTCACTGACTGGGCTTTCATTGGTCCTGTTAATGTCAGCGATTTATGTGACACATTTTCCGATAGTGGTTAAGGTCTGCTGTTAGCTCAGACATCTACCGTCACTTAGCTAGCTGGCTAACGCTAGCTGCGGTTGCTGGTTCATATGGATTGAAAATGGCTAGCAAACTGCAACTGCGATTTTAATCCGTGGAGACGTTTGTTACACAGAAGACCATGCCGTCCTAACAACTAAACATAAATCACATAGTAGTTCAAGATATGTAACACAGCCAAACAAACACTGCAAATCTCAATCCCCATCTCCTGAATACAAAACGCAAAGATGGTCTTCCTCAACTCCCAACTTCTTTCACGGGTCCGAAACCTTTTGGCAAAGTCCCACAGATTTTTTTTTTTTATTACCTTATTTCCGATTATAATCCCGACTAGGGCGATCTGGTAAAGGCCCGCTTTCTTGCAACACGCCTCAAAATAGCGAATGTGAGTTTAAACGGTAATACCTGGGAATATATCCTCTATATATGATCAGTTACGAGTTTCCCTTAGGCAGACATTTTTGCTTTGCAAAAGCCTCAGCACCACGATGGCATTGGTCGTTGTATCCCTCCGCCGAGCACAGTGACACGTTGGTCCCGCACAGAGAGATGCTGCGGGAGTCAGGAGGCACTGTGCGGAGTCGCGTAGATAAATCGAAGGTTTATCTCTACTTAACGGACATTATCGCTACCATTAATGGATTTTAATAGACTGCAGTATCACAGAAATCTATACAATTGAATGTCTCCAAAATGTAGCCTATCAATATTAAAAACATTCCCTAGTTTGTTAGCGTTTTAACGCATTGTCAATAGCTTTTGAAATAAAACGCTTATTTCTTGATGTTGTCAAAATAAATGTCAATGCATTTCATGCAGCAGAGAGGTATAAGCAAGGCTGGACTAACAAGCAAAAGTGGGCAATTGCCTACAGGACCCACCCAGTGTTTGTTTGTTGTGTATTGTTACTTTTCGTTTCTTTTCTCTCTCCTCTGTCCATTCACCTTAAGCAGCCGAGGCAGAAGGCTGCCCACCAAAAGCCAGGGTCTGTCAGAGGTTTCTTCCGTTAAAAAGGAGTTTTTTTCTCCCCACTGTTGCTAAGTGTTTGCTCAAGGGGGAGTTGTTGGGGTTTCCTAAATAATAATAAAATATTTAAAATAATAGTAAGGCCTAGACCTTTCTTTGTAAAGTGTCCTCAGATGACTTTTATTGTGATTTGGCGCTATCCAAATAAAATTGTATTGATCTCCAAAGGCCCAAGAAGCCCCATTCTTACTGCATGTCAGTTGCTCAATTTGGTACTGTGGTAATTTGATTAACTGTATAATAGTAATAGTAAATGAATTAAGAGGCTAGTGTTAGTGTGATAGTTGTAGTGTGATATCGATAGTGCCATTTGGCGCTATCAGGTCATTAGGTTACAGCAATAAGTTTCTTATACTCTTTGTAGACACAGTTACATATAGGCTATACTTTTATGGAATGCATTTTCTTCAGTATAAGCTATTTAGTGTATTTGGATTCTTTAAGTTAATTGCAGATGGGTCTATCTTTCCTACACAAAATTCAAGTAGGATAGCAACAAGAAATGATGCAAGCATGTTCTAGACACAATGCCCTACAAAAGACAGTGGTTGCTGAATTTTATTTGGATTCTCTAAATCCATGAAAGAGAAATAAAGGCCACTGTCCAAAAAAAATCATATATGCCAAGTAGCCGGCATTGTAACAGTGCACTTATCCTGCATATTATTTTACTGTGGAATATAGCCTATTGGACACATCTTGATATTAATACTTTAAGAAATCTGCTAAAATGAAAACTCAGTTTTTTCTGTTATATATAATTTAAAGGCTTGCTAGCCATATTTTATCTCAATAATGAATGTTAACCTACACAATTTAGAAGACAGAATTTCATATTTATGACAAAAATAACTGGTTTCAGTACACAGTACAGTTTTATTGTTACATTTTACACTGAAAAGTACAAAATTTGGTAAATCCATATCTAGTTTGCTGCCGTTTCTTTCTGAAATCAAATGTGTCTAGCATTTTATCGAGGATGCTTTTGAGGCATGGACGAAAGCAGATTTCTGTGGACTTGGTGCAACCAATTATTCCAGAATGCAGTGCGTGTCAACAATCCGTGTTAACAGAGATTTTGATTCAAGCTCAAAGCTGTTCAAATTTTCGTCCCAGGACTGGTATTATGCCACTTATGCTAAGTTTTGATATTTTCAGACAAGAAAGTATCAACGTAGAACGAAAATATACAGGTACTCTATCCAAATGCTGCCAATTTGGACATTTTATTAGGGGTTTTAGGAGATGTCAGTACCCACTAGCGTGCCAAGCTAACTAGCAGGCAGCTACGTGTAGTTCAGAGCAGTTAGCAAGCACGCTAGTGTTCCAATTGCACATTGAGAGTAGTGCCTTGGCATACACCTTTTAAGTTGGTCTGTAGCCCGCCATTTAACCTAAAAGAAGAAGAAGAGATTATTGCGTCTTCCCGTGCTCTGGAGTTTGGACTCCCAAGTTCGAAGTTACCAAGCCCGAACTTACCATACTCGGTATTGATAATGATTCGGGCGGGGGTCGCCTTTCATGGAGGCCGCCATGTTCCTACAGTAGCCCTGAACGGACAAACTAAACCTTGCGTTTATAGGAACTTTCGTTTTTTCATGTTGAAGTAGCATCTGGAAGAATAGGTGTCACTGGAAGTTTGGATGGGGGATCATACTAACAATTTAACCACAAGAACAAGAAAGTGAGCGTGAATTTACTGGAAGTTTGGATGGGGGATCATACTTACAATTTACCACAAGAAAAAGAAAGTGAGCGTGAATTCTCGTCCCCAAAGAGCAAAGACATGAAGAAGCAAAACGAAATCGGGACAACACAAAACAAGGACAAATATTGGTGTGGCCTTTCCCAGGTGGAAATCGTTGAGGAGAGACAAGTGTTTCCATGGGTCCTAGTTTCATTCACTAATTAGATGAGTAAAATTTCTAAATATATAGCTAGCTATGTAAAGTACCTCCTAGGTTGACATATTGCTACTCGATATTAAAGATAGCGACATGGCACCTTCCAGCTCTCTCGATTGTACAGAAGGTTCGGGGGGTATACAGATAGTTGTAATTTGCAACCTCACCATGAGATGCCACTAAATTTTACAAACTACACCTTTAAGTCATATAATCAAATCGCTTTTTATTGCTTTATTTATATTATGTGTATCTATTTACTTTTGCAGCACTTTGTCTTCTTTTTTTAATTTGTCGTTTGTTCTATTTGTGGTTTTGTGTCGTGCCACATTTTTTTCATTTCATTTCACCTCTTGTATGCCCTATTGAATGTTTTGAATGAGGTACAGACTATAATGAGTATTTGACATATAGTTTGTGAAACTGAACTAAAGTTTTTCGACCGTATATTTTTGAGACTATGCTTTTATTCTGAAGGGTTCAGACCGGATGTGTTTTTGCTGTTGGCGGAAATCAGACGGACATTTGAAAAGAAGCTAGCTGTTGACTAACTTGTCGTTAGCATGCACATTAGCTTTATATAAAGAAAATGCGAAAGAGGATTAATTTTCTTCATGGTAAAACAACGAGCGAAAACAACACACGCCTCTGATATTAATGAGACAACAGGCCCAGTGTTTAAAAAATCGAAATCAGTGCGTCGATCTGACGGTCTTAGAGCAAGAAAGGAAAGCGATCGTCTGCGAGTAAAAACAAGGATAAACATATCTTATTGCTTCATAAAGTGGAGAAAATTAAAGGAAGAAAAAAAATCTACAAACGCACGGAGACATCGCTAACTATCTCTTAAACTTGTAAGTGTCCGTTGAAAGCCCCATTAAGGCACGTATATGATAACACTGCGTGGCCTCGATTATAACACTAGTGTAACGTTAGTATTTTGATAACTAATACACAATATCATAAAAGCTAGAATACACTTATAAAAGGATGGCAGTAACTTGGAAAAAACAATGGGAAGTAAGTTACATCTTATGTTCATGTGTTACAAAACCTTATTTCTTTTTGTGTTATTCAAGGAAAAGGTATTATGGGATGTTAATAGGCCTGGATAATGAAAAGCAAGAATTCAGAAAATGGTTAAAGTATTTCACAAAAGTGTTCTCCATCACAAGACAACTCAGTTTGTCTACAGATGTGTTCAGGGCTAGTAACGGGTATTATTGTCAGCTGTCACAGCTCGGCATTGCTAAAATGTGGCGGTGCCAAGTGCACACTAAGTAGCCTGTACAACCATGGCACTATAATGTACTTAAACATTTCCCCTTTTTCCTTAAATCTTCAAGGCCTCTGAAAAACTCAGTAGCCTACAGTGTTGTCCCTCCAGCACGATGTTGGAACTACTTTTTCCTCCGCGCTGGCGAGAAACCAGACAAGAGGACTGCAGTAGAGTTGAGTTCATACTGACTGTCGCTGTGGCTTAGGGGTGCAGAATAATGAAACTATCTCATAAAAAGTATTCTACAAATTTTACTCGTCGCTGCTTTCATCAGTTGTCTTGTGGTTTTTTTGGGGTTTTAGCGTTATAGGAAATTTAATAACTGAAGTAGAAGTAGAGGCTAAAAAGCACTTGTTCACTCCAGTGAACCACAAATAGAGATTGGATAGAAAATATGTATCTGTTTAACATAAATTTACAGGGCAGACAATGGACAATTAGCAAATGATATTTTGCCAGGGGTGTTTATTGATAATTGTCACATGACTTGCTCTGTCAAGTTGGTGTGATAGATCAATAGTTAGATAGAAAGAAAGGCATTTAAATGTTTATATCTAGCTATGTGACCAATGTTGTGTGAAGATACTTTTAATTTTTTTTCTGTTTGAGAGATAGAGTTTTAGGTGTTTCACTACAGATCAGAGTAGAGAGTGTGGGTGTTTCCATAGCATATTCATATTTATTGTATACAGCTGCATGAAGTAAAAAAAAAGAGACAGGTTTGACGGAAACTATTATGACTGAAAAAGGAACATGCTTGAAACTGAAATTGCAAAAAAAAAAAAAAAGTGTGGAGAGGGGAAGGGGTGAATGAGCTTGCACACTTGGTTTTCTGTAGCTAGAAGGGTGTCTTCATCTTACTTGGCTAAGACCAAAGCTTTACAACTACTTGTTGCCTAAACACAACAAAAACTATTTTAAAGTCTTAAGAAGATTCAGTTGGCTCACTTAAGCTTATTCTCCACTATTATCTTTGAGGTCATTTTATGCAAAATGCACTTTGTCATTGGGTTTCAGTGTTTCATGAAGCCACTCAGAATCACCTTTTTTGTAATGACTTGTTTTGCATAGCACCTAGGGTTTGGTATTGCTTAGGTTTTTCTGAGACCTGTGCTAAAACGATAGTTTTAAAATGGTGCTGGTGCCTAAATAGGTGATGTATACACACATACTGTACATAGTATGTACAATATGTGTACATAGCTTATGTACACAGCCTGAGCAGTAATATTGTTCCCCCACCCCCATCAACACAGCCCCTTGGATTAAACACAGCAAGGAGCTGTGTTTTTACCGGATCTGTCTGAATTCTGGCTAAGTCCCCAGTGTTCCATGGTGGTGTAAAGCACATTCACCAGTTTTTCAGCAGTATGCCGCTTTGGCATTGCTTTAGTTTGAAAAACAACACTCTGTATTTTTCAGTTGCTGATACAATGGCAGGTGACTGTCACATACAATTTTGTTGTAAGCACTGTCCATGCATACGTGTTCAGAGACACCTTTTCAACACTTGTCAAATGACTGCACATTTACATATCACTTTCAACACTGCTTTTTCAAAAAGTTCTTTTTTTTACTTGGATTTACAGGGCACAAGCCTGAACTACATGCAGTCGCATTAATGGAAGGCACGCACAAGATTATAATGTGGATGGGATGTTATGTATAGTGGGCCTACCCAAAAAATACTGCAACGTAATCCCAGAGATTATTCTGAATCTGCCAGTGTGACTGCAGTATATAATTGTCTTGTTCAACTCTTGAGCAAAAGCAAACACAAAAATGTCTGGAAATTGGTCTGATGCTGAGATCAGGGAACTGCTCTCTCTTCGTGCTAAGGATGAGATCTTGAGGCAGTTTAATGGAACAGCAAGGGATGCAGTTGTGTATGACAACATGACCACTATCCTGCAGAAGCGAGGTGTGCAGCGACGCAAGGCCCAAATCATTAGCAAACTGAAAAATCTGCGGAAAAACTATCTCAGTATAAAAGACCGCCACAGAAAGAGTGGCAATGAGAGACTGCATTGGCAGTACTTTGAGTTGTGTGAAGCAATTTGGGGAAGCAGCCATCCAACAAATTCAGTGGCATTGCTGAGTAATTTGGAACCAAAGTTGGAGGACAACAGGGACTCATCTGATGTGGACTACAAGGATGGTGCCATTTCGGGATCATCTAATGTGGACTGCAAGGATGCCACCATTTTGGGATCATCTAATGTAGACTACACGGACAGTGCCATTACAGGACCATCTAATGTGGACTACAGGGATGGTGCCATTTCAGGATCAGAATCCACAAGCAACATGGTCCCAGAGGAACAAGAAGAAAGTCGCCCAGGTGAGTTCTAATGTCTTTGTGGTAGTGTTATTGCCATAGTTAAAATTAGCATGAAAGAGTGGTTGTCAGGTAGTCAGCTTGTTTGCTAATGGGCCATTCTTGGTATTCAGTGCCTTTTGGAATTCATAAAATGTAGAATATCAGTCTAAGGTATTTTAAAAATTCTAGTATCATGAAAGAGACTTTTAAATATTTGAAAAGTTGCTTTGGTCAGGTACACATAGAAGATATCCATCCATCCATCCATTTTCTTCCGCTTATCCGGGGCCGGGTCGCGGGGGCAGCAGTCTAAGCAAAGATGCCCAGACCTCCCTCTCTCCAGACACTTCCTCCAGCTCCTCCTCCAGCTCCAGGAAGTGTCTGTTGTTGATGGTTTTATATAAATATGAATGCTTGTAAAAATGTAAAATGAGACTCATATCTCTAAGGGTGCGCCCGGCCACCCTGCAGAGGAAGCTCATTTCAGCCGCTTGTATCCGGGATCTTGCCCTTTCGGTCATGACCCAAAGTTCATGACCATAGGTGAGAGTCGGAACGTAGATTGACCAGTAAATCGAGAGCTTCGCCTTAAAGCTCAGCTCCTTCTTCACCACGACGGACCGGTACATCGACCGCATTACTGCAGAAGCTGCACCGATCTGCCTGTCAATCTCCCGTTTCATCCTTCCCTCACTCGTGAACAAGACCCCAAGATACTTGAACTCCTCCACTTGAGGCAGGAACTCTCCACCAACCTGAAGGGAACAAGCCACCCTTTTCCGGCTGAGAACCATGGCCTCGGATTTGGAGGTGCTGATTCTCATCCCAGCCGCTTCACACTCGGCTGCAAACCGCCCCAGTGCACGCTGGAGGTCCTGGTTTGATGGGGCCAACAGGACAACGTCATCTAGAAGATAGTTTGAAATAATTGTAGTTTAATTTAATGAGGCATATATGTATAATTTGAGGAAAAAAATACAGTGGAACCTCAGTTTTCGTATGCCCTATTTTTCGTGCGATTTGGTTTTCAACGACTTTTTTTTGTCAAAATTTTGTCCCAGTTTTCGTACATCCACTCGGTTTTCATACAGTTGATTGGTCGGGTCAGTGTCATTAGTCCGTACCAAACTTGTCCGCCTGCCCACGTGACTCGGCCACTCATTTCCCGAAGTGAAATGAGTGAAGGGAAGTAACCCCGGATAGGGCCTTGATACATGAAATCCTTATGTAGGGGGATTCCCCTTCCAAACAATAAACTCTCCTCCTCCCTCTCCCCTCCTTGCTGTCTTCCATATGCCAACAAATTTATTTTTTGTTAATATTTTTGGATGTCTGGAACAGATTAATTGGATTTACATTATTTCTTATGGGAAATATTGCTTCAGTTTTCGTACATTCTGTTTTCGTCGGACTTTTTCGAACGCATTAATCACGAAAACCGAGGCTCCACTGTATAAGACTCCAGATGAGGATCCACTACTGGAATGAATGTTCAGAAGTCACTGTTGTGTGTTGTTTATTTTCAACAGAATTTCCTTGTGGCCCCCTGTTAAGGAAACTACCAAAAAGAAAGTCCAGGCATCAGCAGACTTATGAGGAGCTGCGCAGGCTTTTGGCCGACATGGATAGAGACTTTAATGAAAGAGAGGCTGTCCGTATCCAGGAGCAGAGGGAATATGAGGACCGGGTTCGGAGAGAGGCGAGGGAGTATGAGAGGCAGCAATGGTCCATGCAAATGGCAATGTGGAAGGAGATGCAGGAGGCTCAGAACAACTTCTTCAAAGATGTTTTGAGCCGATTGCCTGTTTTTAGTCCACCATCTCAATCACCACAGCAGCAGGTGATCTCCTATTGCATTGCATTCTAAACAATACTAAGTTTAACTTGGGAACTGTTGCTTTTCTGCATTGGGAACTTTACAGAATGTATAAGCTTTTGATATGTCACAACACAGGTTGCACTCAAAAGTCAGATGTTGTGTTCAGTCTCTTCCTCCATATTTAGCAAAAATAAACTAACTGTTTTGCTGGACACAGGCCGCCAGAAGTGAGGTTGCTTCCCTGACGCAATTGCCTTTAAGGACTCTTCAGCCTCACATCAGAAGTACAGGTTTGTAGACTCATACATTATGAACAATTGACAATTTACAGTAGCACCCTTATGTAGTTGTATTTCTAATGTAATTGCTGCACATTTTCTGCATTATAAGACTTAGGTTTCATAAAAAATGAAATTTTGTTACAGCTGTACAGACAACTGTGTCCTGCAGGGATGTTGATGTTGGCCCATCCACTGCAGATCCTCAGCCCTTTCCAATATCCACACCAATAAGGACACCTTGTTTGGATCTTGAGGAGGATGAGGAGGAGATGTTTTTGGTGCAGGTGTAGCACCTGCACATTCGCTATACTGTGTGAATGAAATGCAGTATGCAAATGAATACAGATAGTGCTGCAAATAATTATGATGATTCATTATTGACTATTTTCTCAGCTATCAATTATTCATTTTGTCTATAAGGCATCAGAAGATAGTTGCCCATCTGGTTGTGTAAAGTCCAACCTGATCTGTTCACATCTTGTTTTTTCTGACAAGCAGTTCAGAATCCAAAGATCTATTTACCACTATTTAAAAGAGAGAAGTGCAGATAATCTGAAACATTAAGCTGGATCCAGAGAATTTGTCAATTATAAAATTGACTACTTTGAATAACCAGCTAATCAAGTAATTTCTACAGCTCTAAATACAATTGAGGGATGAAACATTCTAAGCAGGGCCAGATATCATAAAAGCTATATGTGAACATTATGAGAAAGTGGGATGTTGTGCATCACTAGGGGTTGCCCCTCCAATCTTCCAGCCATCCATGAACAGAGTCGCGGGTGGCTGGAACCTGTCGCAGCTGACATTGGGCAAGATGCGGGGTACACCCTGGACAGGTCACCAGTCTGTCATAGGGCTGACAAGTAAACAAAAAACACACATGCACTGCTATGGTCAAGTTGGAGTTGTCAGTCAAACTAGGCCCAAAGACATGCAGGTTAGGTTAACTGGTGACTCTAAATTGCCTGTATGTGTGAATGTTGGTGGTTGTCTGTCTGTGTGTCAGCCCTGTGATGGACTGATGACTTGTCCAGGATGTATCCCACCTCTTGCCCAATGTCAACTGAAATTGGCTTCAGGCCCCTGCAGCACATGGGTTTTTTTTATGTAATAGCTTATACACAGAAATTGAGTGTTTTCAGAAAGATTTTCACTCATACTAGGAATTAATAGGCCCAAACAAAAATACAGTGGATGCTCCTGCACCTCAAGTCATGTAAATTTTTGTGATACAGTATGTGTGACTTCAATTTATGTATTTTTGGTATGTACAACTTCCATGTCCTGTAACTGAAGGTAGTTGTGCTACAAAGCTTGTTAACAATAAAAACACAGCTTACAAAGGCAGCTCAACCATAGTTTGTGTAACACTGAATGGCAGTGTAATTTTATAATCAATAAGTCGCGTGAGGCGAAATGAAAAGATAATTTGTCATTTAAAACAGGTTTTCACAGACATACGTGTTGATCTAGGCACCTCTGTCCTGTATTATTACTTCTACACCGCCACCTGTTGGACAAACTTGGATCCTCCAAACTTCACCAGGTGTTCTTCACCCAATGAACATACCCATAAATCCAGATGAAACAGTTTTTTAATCATTGTTTATTTCAAGTTTTATACAAATAATTGAAATAAATGAGTAAGCAAGCCAAAAGAGATGTCATAGCTGTGTAGCAATTTTAGAATAATTTAAAATGTAAATATTGTGTGATAAAAACATGCTGGATACATTTAAAAAAAAAATTGTAGTACAATTATTATTTTAGGCAAGGGTTATGTTCTTGGAAGTTATTTCTCATTAAAATTGCTTTGAATTGCCATACTATCTGTCTTATGTTATTCACATCAACTAGGTGTAAATACAATTACAAGGCAAAGTAATGTCACTGTCTGCAATTTCCTGGTTTTCTGCAAAGATTGGTCATGAAATGTGATCTGATCTTTACCAAAGTCACACAGTCTAATTCTGATTGTGAAACAGACCAAAAGGATACAATACATTCAAGGATTTTCTTTAATGGTCATAATCTCCAGGCAGTTGCGCACTCATGTGAGCTGGCCTGACATCTACCAGACCCATTGTAAAAGTGGAATTTTTCGACAGCTCCTGGTTTTGTGGATATATTTTCCCTCCTGCTGCTGCACTGTGACCAGAGGATGTGGAGAAAAATACAGGGACTGAGGTTACTGCTTGTCCAGGAATGTTCCTGTACAGGGACTCACTGTTTTACCTGACCAGGTCTAACCTACAATCAGCCAGGCAGTGAAGTCCCCTGGGGTGGTGAATGATCAGCTCATCAATGCTGGACTCCCCTGGAGAACAGTACCTGTTTGTTTTGACTGCTTGAGGCCAGTGTGTCTGCTGCATGTGATGTGTTGGTGGTTAAGGAGCAGATTTAAGCTACCTGTTGGAAATAATTTTACTACTTTGGGACTGGTCTTCTGGGGGAAGATGCAGCAACTACCGGTTGGATTTACCGACCTTGGAGCTACTTGAAAGGGAGTGATAGTTCCGCTACTTGGTGGGACTTAACGGTAAGTTTAAAAGAACACACGTTGCATGTATGTTAATGCGTTGTTTCTATGACCTTAGAGAGAACTGTTGTAAGGCTGGAGAAGTTATGTCTGCACAATGCCAGTTAAAATATGGGGTTTCTCAATTACCCGCTTTGTTGAGAGTGTTACAAATGTGTGTTCTTCTGTACATTTACTGGTGTTTACCTATCTATGACATTCAAATTAATTAATGCCATTGCGCTTCGTTGTGCTGTTCACCTTTGATGCAATGCTAGCAGCAGGAGATGTGCATGTTTATGAACTATCCTCTTGTTTTTAGGAAGAGGTTCTCGGGTTTTATCTTTCTGAAATAATTATAGACTACTTGATGTTATGATGGGTGCAAAGCTAATCACCCAAGATTAAACATGAAATGGCTGGAAATGAGCATGCTGTGGTATTCTATGGACTCATTAAAACTGTACAGTAGTATAACTTCAACCTTTGTTTGATCACAGTCAAGGTCATTCTGAGCAGGAATCAGATTAGCAAAGGAAATCTTTTTTATGAGAGTCCAAATATGAGGATGTTCTCAGCTATGGTGTAATTAGTGGGGATTTCCCCTATAATTTACTTTAAGAACTGTGTTAACGACACAAAACCACAGTGTTAATATACTGAAACACACAGTAGGATGTAACCACAAAATTTAAGTTAAATGCACGTCTTTTTTTTTTTTACATTGAATTGCCTAAATAGTCAGCTGTCAATTTTGGTCGCGCACGGTGTTCTGTCAGATTTTGCTACCTTGTTGCAAAATTTATGGACTGAGTAACCCCGCCCCAATCCATCCCCCTAACCCTAACCACTTTGTGAACGGTGGGTAGCACGTCTTGATGGGTAGCAAAATCTGACAGAACACCGGCATCCGTACCGTAATTGCACAGAAAGAGGTGCAAGGAAATGTGAACGGCGCCTCACTTGACAGGAGTTTTGCTACTGGGGGTTTACTTGATCGCAGCTGCTTACCGGGCGAGGCGCAGTTCATCTCATACGAGCCTTTTACCCGTCATCCCCCGCGACTATTTAAAAACGGAGGTTAGGAGCGCTGCAAGGAACGATTGGTTTGCTAGTACTTCTTACCAAGTGTTCTGTTTATGCTTTTGAGATGTCTCGAAGGAAATGTGTTTTTGGCTGTGATGGCACGTTGAACCTTTTCAGCTTTCCCAAAGACCCAGCGATAAAGGGTCAGTGGATGAAGTTTGTTTTTCGGGGCCAGCAACGGAGTTGCGTAAATGTATTGGTTTGTTCGCGACACTTTATGGATGGGTATTTTACGAACAAGGCCCAGTACGACGCTGGGTTTTCAGACAGATTAAAGCTGAAAGTCGGGGCTGTTCCAACATTAGAAGGCCATGAGTCTAAACCGCATGCGGTAAGTAAAATGGTGTTGTGTTGGCATTCGGCGTAGACATGCATTTTAGTGAAAACAATGTGGGTACGACGGGTCAAAAGTTAGCTCGGGGGCTAATAATAACTGGGCTACCGAAAATGTTCATTTGTATTTTCAAAGACTGCTCAGAAACATGGAGTTATTCCCTCAAGCAACCTAGTTTGCAGCCCCCCCACGCACTACACACATTGTTGACAAAGAATAGCTATCCAGCTACATACCATCAGGTAGTAATGGGGGTGCAGCATATGTAGGTTATTGTTTTAATGCTTTCTTTTACCTAGAAATGATTTTTTTTATAGTCCAGCATTGTGATAACGGAGAACAACCTGTTACTCCTTCAAACGTACATTGGTCCTTTTTTTTATTTTTTTATTTCAGAGCTCATCTGGACAGGTGCCCACTAGCCACGTCATACCTGGGTTCAGGCTCTCTGAATGCCAAGCAGGACTTCTTCACACTGTGTCTGCTGCAACACAGGCTTGTGTGCCAAAGACATCTATAGGCACACAGTTTACCTGCTCTACACCCACAAGATCTGTTGCCACACAATTATCCTTTGGCACACTGAAACCGTTTGTACAAAGCAAAGGTATGTATGTTATTTATTTGCTTTGCTTTTGATGTTTTACTAAAAAGGCATAGTTTTATGTAACCTAAACCTAGCAATGATTTGTGTTTCTTCATTAGGCACACAGGTAACAGCCATTGTTGCTACTGGAACTACCAAAGAAGGAACCCAGATGCAGCTGTCATCAACACTTAGAAATGAATCCACATCTGGACTCTGTGCAAGACCCACCAAAAGGCCCCATATAGAATTGCTGGAGGAGGAGGATGTCAGATGTTCTGATATTCCAGTGCCTCATGATTCCACTTACAAGCCTGGTGATTCTGTCACAGAGCCCTCTGAAATTAGGTAATGTTGAGTGTAACGTTATACATCATTTAACCGGTGACATAGACTTTTTCGTTGACATGCTTTGCCTTACTTTCTAGTGGGATGGAGGCCTGTAGCGACTACAACGACACCAAGTACATCGTTTTTGAAAGGTCTCTCAAAGAGCTTTTTGAAAGATGCCCAGTGTGCAAGTGCGTCTGTGATGTCCAGCAACAGCAGCTTGGGACATTTGTATCATTCTCTCAGGTCTGTGGCCACTGCCAATACTCCAGAAAATGGCAGAGTCAGCCTGTAAAAGGAACCACTCCACTTGGAAACCTGCAGATGTCTGCCGCAGTATATTTCACCAACGGATCATTCTTTCACATGGAAAAGGTATGCACATTGAACACTGAATTTTTAATTTCACAAAGAACACCTAAAACTTGATTTTATGTTATGTTTTCAGATCTGCAAAGCCATGAAACTACAAATACATCAGTATGAAACATTCAAAAGGCATGCCCAGATGTTTATGGAAACATCCATACATCATAAGTATGTTAATTCGTGCCTCACATCACTTCTTAGTTGTCAGGTTCACCAATTGCTGGAACATACAGTTGGTCACTGTTTATACAAACAACTCAAGTAGTGGCAACCATAATTTTATAAATCTTTGATTTTGTTACACTGTGCTTGGTTTAACGATACCAGAGATGTGCTCTGTGCCAGGCTCAGGCTGTAAGGGCTAAAAGAAGGCAAGGTCCTGGGGAGTTTTTCATTCTGTCTGCAAGAGACTTGAGTGATGCAACAAGTGGTTAAAGGCCATACAAAAACACACCAGTCATTAAATACAACAGTATAAGAGTGTGTAGTCAGCATTATGAACTGGACTTACTGGGAGAAGCTATGAAGACAACACCCCGAAAAATACTCAGATCCAACATAATTTCATCTGTTTTCTCTGGAACATGGCAAGAGGACCTCAGCAGATGACAGGAGCTGATCAGAGGTAAACTATTTATTTTACCTGTAAATGGTTGTTTTTAAACAACATTGGCTAGAAATCCCAAATATACATAAACTCGCAACAGGAGAGAATGCAGCGTCTTGATTTATTCTATGTAGTGGACAGTTCATATTGCTGAAATTAGTGCATATAATGGCAGAAGTGCATTTTCATCATAATGGGAAAAGGCCCGACAGCCAGTACTGCATCCACTGGGAACGATGATGTACAAAAGTCAGGCAGTGCACGTGAAGAACCTCTGAGTTTTCCATTATGTTTTAAACCAGAGTACTCCAGAGCAGAAATGAACAGTTGATTTAACAGTCAGCATTGGAGTAATTTTTTTTTTTTTTTAACAAATGTGCTTACAAAGTGCGACCTGTTTTTTTTTTTTTTTTTGTTTTTTTTTTTATATGGTAATGAACATGTCTTTGGGTTTTTAACTGTTGGTCAGATAGTTGATCAAAAGCAATTTGAATAGAGATCAACCAGACTAAATAATTATCAGACATTCATAATGAACATAAATTGTTGCTGGTATTCTTTTCTGTACTCTCATGATGGAATACAACTTATTTGCCTAAGGTTTTCTGTGTTAATAACTTGACACAGAATCTCTTTTCTTTTTTAATTCTTGATTTACAATTCAAGTCGGGCCAATACAAAATTCAGTTGGCAACAACACACGACAATTAGAAAATACAGACTGAGCACAAAGAATTGCCGTTGAAAGAAAAAAAAAACTACTTTTGAGGAATTTTGGCATGTCCTCTCAAAGATGCACCTGCTCAGCCCACCATCTTGCTAGAAAAAAAACAAGACTATTTCTTTGAAAACAAGCAGAATAATGGAAGAAGAAATTTGAATTTCTTTGTCAGATTTGCTGAAAAGAGATTTCATTTCCAACTCTATACCGGAGGATCAGCTGTGGCAGTACTATGCCGAGGAATACACTGCAACCCACTGTGGGAGGAAAAGAAGATGGTATGTGAGGCCTCTCAATACATCCAGGCAAGAAGAGGGTGAATATAACCAACCTGCTTGTGCGGCAAATGCACTCGATGGATGAGGAGATGCATTTCAAATATTGTCGCATGTCACCACACTGGTTTTCTGACCTACTGCACAGAGCCAAACATTTTCCACCATGTTGTTCCATTGTGGGGTCATGAGGTTCTGTATACAAGTTCAAATATTATTTTTGTGTACTGTTTTATATAATGCTGTTCAAGTAATGTTTAGTGAAAATACCATCCATTTTGTGAGTGGCATTGCACTTGGGTTTCAAAGAACTAGATATATTTTTGCCTACACTTCACCATGTCCCCAAGTAAACCTTTAGCACTTTAACTGGTGCTTCAGGTCAAGAACGTTTAATCCACTTTAACTTCATACACTTGGTTTTATTGTATAAATATATTTTTATTTTATTTATTTATTTATTTTAGTTTGAAGACACAATCTCAGTTGTGTTGTCAGGCCAAGGGTACATTTGTGTGCTAAACATTCTCCAGATTTTGTATGAGGTGTGCCAGAAAAGTTCCAGGACTGTGTGACCTATGAGTGGAGGAGGAATTGGCTTATTTGCCATATACCAAGTAGATAGTATATGGCATTAAGGGCCTTGTTCAAGGGCACCACCATGGTGTTAAGAGTGAGGCAAACACTGCTTTGTCACCTGTCCTTTCCAGATTTAATACTGATGGTCCAGTCACAAGCTCAGAAACCCAAAGGTTACTGTCTAGGTGTCACACTGGGCAACTAATATCCATACCCTGTAAGAGGTATTTGTTCTTTTCAGTTTTGAGGAAATGGAGGTCACCATTGATGAGGATGAATGCATTAGTGTGAAGAACGGAGTGTAACTTTAAGTTGTATTATCCTGTATATATTGTATATTTGTGTTTCGGTGGCTTATTTGATTATATAATCACATATCTTTAATAGATCTAATTTGGGTAGTGATATGGAAAATGTCACAGAAATGACTGAACTGAGAGCTGCAGGGGCAGAAGACAGCTGTGATGAAGATGCCGACATTCCACTAATTCCTCACAGATACTTGGATGTCCTTGATGAGGCCCGTTTTAGACTGTTAAAGTAAATCAGCCAAGATATGCCTGGTGATAACCTCATGTGTCACACATTATCTTTTTCAGGTCTATAACTGAACTTTTGCTTGAATGTGAAGAGGAGGAGCTGGAGCCATGGCAGATACCAGCTCCACAAGTTCACGTGAAAGAAGATGATGTTGGAGAGCTGAGTATGTAACAGCAGTATTTTAAAAGAACACGTCAGTGCAGAGTATTGTAAATATCTGTCTTCTGTACTCCACTAAAATACAAGTCACTGTTGAATCAAAGCATCATGTAATTCAAAATGCTTTGCTCAAATTCATTAAAGGTAAGGTATAGATGAATTTTGCAAGACTACTAAGATCACTATTTTGTCGCAGATATTCTCAGCTAAAATGTTCATTTGCAAAAATAACAAATTTTGAGCTCTTTGCATATTGTCACAGCTGATGATTATGAGCCTGAGTCTTCAAGTCCTCCAAGAAATAAAGTGAATATTTCACCACCTAATGTGAAAACAGAAACTCCACAGCCTGCTGTTTCCAACAGCCAAGTAAGGATGTCATTGGAATTATTTTATGTAATTTATTTGTAAGAAAATAGTTAAACTAGTTAAAAACTACGTAAATAGCTTGTCATGTAATTTCTAAAGTGTTTATTATATGGATACTACTGTAGTTCTGTATTTTAACATATGAAATCTGTTTCTCTTTTTTCCAGGAACTCATTGTGACTGTTCCACAGTTAATTAGCAACACTAACTCCGTTGGAATTCCTGAGTTTTGGTACCCTTCCAGGTAAAACTGAGTTGTTGTTGTTTTTTGTTTGTTTGTTTGTTCTGTTCAGGTTTTTAATAACTGTGTAATGAGTCTTGTATCTTGAACTTGGACTTGATGGTCCTATTTGTAGACACTTTTTGTGCCATCTAGTGGTAGCAACAGCACAATAAAAGTATGTTCCTTGTGGCTGTTCAGTTGCTGAACAGTAAATCTTAAGCACTTTATGCTCTCAAAACCTCTTTAGTTGGGTTCACGTTCGTTTTAATGTCTTATTTATTTAACTGTCAATATAGACTATATTTTAATCATGGCTTTTATCTTGGTCTTGATTATGTGTGGCAGTTGATTTTTTTTTTTTTTTTTTTGGACAAAATAACAAAACGGTTATAAAACCTGATCACACTTTATGGTTGAATTTTGTTTGTTTATGCTTAATACTCTTTGCAGTTTGATATTGCATACAAATTTGATATGTTGTAGCAATAGTAATAAGGGCATGGCTAATCATGAAGTACTTGTTAGAGATGAGAATCAGCTTTAATCGCCAAGTATGTTGGGCATAGAAGGAATTTGTCTCTGGTACAGAGGCTCAGTGTGTTTTAGGCAACTAGCAATAAACGACAGTAGTATTGTGCAATCAGGGATGTGGGGAGGGGTGAGGAGTCCACTGTCATATCCTCTGATTTGAGCTTGTCCAGCTCCAGGTTATGTCTACACGACAAGGCCAGCTTGTTAACTTCCTAGCTTTTATAGACCAACTCCAGTTTTATACTTAGACACTGGAGACTTTATTGTATTATGCAGTAAAATAAAACCAAAAAAACCCAAACCAAGCTTTTAAAAAAAAAAAAAAAAAAAAAAAAAAAAAAAAAAAAACTACTTCCTTTTCAGATTATGCTTAGGTTTTATACTTATCAGAGCCTACTAACCCCAAATAGCTTGGAGAAATTAAAAGTGTGTGTGTGTGTGTGTGTGTGTGTGTGTGTTTTTCAGGTGGTCAGCAGCAACTTACCCAGAGGTGATGACATCCACAGTAGTACCCAGTGCCAGTGGTGGGGTCCAGAGCCATGTACCCGATGCCTATGGTGCGGTCCAGAGCGAGGTGGGACGAAGTCAAGGCTAGAGGCTCAAAGTACTGCGACAGTTTAGAGACTTAGGCCTATGGTGCGGTCCAGAGCCAGGCGCCTGATGCCTATGGTGCGGTCCAGAGCCAGGTTCCCGATGCCTATGGTGCGGTCCAGAGCCAGGTGCCCGTATCAAGCATACAAACTCCTGCAGTACATGCAGCATCGTCTAATGCACCACAGCCCGACCAGTCCAACTTACAGATCCTCTCTGTATCCGTTTCTCTGCCTTGCTTTACTGTACTCAACTATGAATCAGCTGGCACACAACAATAAATAATGCTTTTAAGTGAAGTAAGATAACACACAGCAACAGTTATGATGGATAGGTTATCTCATAAATGTGCTATGTCAACTGTGAATGCAGACTCTTTGCACATGTAATTAATTGTCTGTGCAGGCCCCTGTGTGTCCTCTTCTAGCATAGATGCAGTTAGGTAAGCCTGCACATGGCACCTGTTACCTCTTTTTTTTTCCAAGTACAACTTCAACTTTATTTAGCAAAAGATGTATACTAACCTGTACATTTCACTATAGTGATTCAGAGGTTATTTTAATATACTATGTTAATTAAAGACATTTTTTTTAGTACATCATTTCTGTTTTATTCACATGCATGATACTGGTTAATAGTTTCTTAGTAATGTGTTAAGATTTAATTGGCTTGACCACTGCAGCAGAGTTGTAGCCTGCTACTGCAGGTTAACCATGGATGTTTTATGCATTTGTACAGTAAATATGCATGCATAGTCGGTGTTTAAGATGCACCATTTAAACGAGCAAAGGGCATCAAATTACAAATGTCTGCAACACTGAACATTATGGCCAGCTGTCACTTTGACAGATTTTTTTAATGATAAATAACGGCTTTACCTCATCTTAGTAGATCATCAGTTAGGTACGGCCTCGACAGTTATGGCTGCTGTTTGTGACAGACCAGTGCACACTGGTGGAGTAAGTATTCCAGTCCTTTACTCAAATAAAAGTAACTACTAATACCACAGTAATAACTTGGTTATATATAAAAGTCCTGTTTTGGAAACAGTTAAGTAAATGTGTATAATCAGGAAAATGCACTTAAAGTATTAAAAGTAAAAGCTATTTTCAAGCAAATTTAAAAGATAGTATACCTCAATTATTACATTAAATTGGGGCCACCATCTAATGATGGCTGAATTGCATTTACCATTCACTGTGATTGTACTGCATATTGGATATTGACAGTTCAGTTAAGTAGCCTACTGGACTTGCATGAACTTAGTTACTCAAAGGGCAACGACAACGTGATACTTAATTCCAAAGAGAAAATGAATATTAATCTTTAGAAATACCAGAGAGACCAGGAAGTACTACAAGTGAAAAAGGAAGTGATGGACAGATATGCGCTGCTAGTCTGATTGGTGCAGATGGTCAGCGCGTTTGAACGCCTTGCGATGCATTTTCTCCGTGTGGAGAGGAGCCGCACTGTCTCCTATTCCAGCGTCCTCGGACCAACGACTGTACTAAAGTTGCTATCTACACACGGATCTGCACTGAGCCCCAGAGGTTGTGTGTGACAGAGGTATGCAGAACATAAATTCTCTACAATAAATCGTGCAGTCTTTGTCACAACATCCACCTTCCAGATACTGCGAGCATGCTAACGGAGCCCAGCTAATGTTATGGCGTTATGACCGACAGCTTTTGTAAGTTAACAATACAACGAAATGCGGATGCAATGTCGTGGAGTCTTAAAATAAGATTTTATATTTATATCTTTAGTCTCACTGTAAATCGCGGCATATGAACACCAGGGGCACTGCAAATTATGAACGTTAGCTAGTTAGCATTAGCTAGCTATGTTGCCGTTGAAAAGAATGGTAAAGCTAGTCGGCTTGTAAATGTGAGCTAGGCATGCTAACGTTGGTGGTAGTTCATCTGTTAACTGTTCAGAGTTGTGATGGAAGCCAGCAGTTGTGGTTTCATATAAGTAATGCATTTTAGTAAACTTAGTATTTGATAGTGAATAAACAATGTTAGCTCAAAACTAAAATAAACGCCATCTTTACACTCGAAGATAATTTGACCAAATTGTAGATTACAGAAAACTGCTCAGGTTTATTTCCTGTCACACATTAGCAAACAGTGATAAGTAAAGGAATAAAATGTATGCAATTTTATAGTGTGTTAAATAAAAGCTGTTTTTAAATTGAGAACAGGTTTGACAACTGCATCGGCAGTCTCCTATAGCAACCATTAAAGTCGCCATCTTGGAAGACAAACGCTTTGTTCCTAATTATCTTAGATCAAGTCCTATTTTGTCACATTTAGATTTTTGTAACCATTTGCATATATTAATGGTCACATGCTCTGGTTTGCCGTTTTAATAAGTCCCAGTTGCAAAAAGGAAAGCTCTTATTCCAATACTTTATGTGGCTATAATAGGTGTGTTAAAGGCGCATTACCTAAAGTTTTATACACTGTCTGATAAATCAAGTTAAATGAGAAGGAAGCGGTGTCTCTCAACCTATACTACACCCCTCCCTGACACACTCCTACCTACAGCCATTCTTGTTTTTGCAGCATCTCTGCCATGTTTTGTCAAAATATGGTCTGTAAGTTAACCCCTCCTGCTACTCAACAAAGTCATCTTAAAGCCTGAAACAGTGTATGCCAGACTAAAGGGGCTCCATTATTTTGCACAGAGAGCAAAAAAACATCGGTTTGGCTTTTTGAGATGGAGTGTGTTAAAAACAGCCAAAGGACACATTTTATTCAAATGTTGTTTTTCCCTTCTGAAGGCTTTAGTGTTTGATTTGGTAATGTTAGTGATCTAGTTTTTCTAATTTTAATTTGGGAGTAATTTGTGTATTGTGTTACATTAGCTGTAATTCGGTTTTTCTACTGGACTGACAAATTTACTCTTTAGTCAGCTAATGCTAGCTTTGGACTGGAGGCTTCATTTTGTACAGTTTGTCACAACCAGGCATCCCAAGTTCAAGTTGTTAGTAGGAAACAATGTGATGGGAGGGGCCAGAGTGGATTAAGAACCATTCAGAAGGAGAGTGGCGACATCTTCATTGATTCTATATGCATGTTTTTTTTTTATAGTAATGGTTAATCATGGGAAGATTAAACATTAGGAGCAGTGCTACAGAGTTGCATTGATTTGGCTGCTATATTCCAAGGTAAGAAGTTGAAATAAAAAGCAGTAAGGTAGTGATGCGTCAAACACGTTTTACAACCTTTTTGACCATCTCTGAAATAGTGGATCACTTTAATAGATTAGCTACCTAGCTAACTAACTAAATTAGCTGAGCTATCTACAACAACAGAACACAAAGTTAGTTTGCAAGGTCATTTGAAAATAGTAATTGCTAATAAATCCTGTTGTTCCCTACAGAAAACTGTAAAATTGACTGTTTGGAACCTTTTGAAGGTTGCATGACCTGCAGCCATTTTTAACCCCTCGGTGTCGCAACTCATCTGTCTTAATGGCTCTGGAAGGGGCAGAGAGCAGCTTATGTGTCCATTTGTTTTCCATTTTATAGACCCTTGAGCAGTCAGCTCAAGTTGAAGCACTGATTGTTGTTCCCAAGCGCTTAAAACCAGTTAATGCAGGTTAAAACATCAACTAATATTTATTTTATTAACACTGAAACAAGTGAGTACATTTAATATGAGATACTTGGGAGTTGTTGCACATACATATGACTTTACCCACCAAGAATGATCACTCTGCAGTTCCACTTTGATCTGCAAGGGTTTTTAGTGTCTTTGAGCAATTGCAATTGGTTATTTTGTTGTTGGGAATAGTTTTCTTCTCAGGGGTATACAGACAGGTGACAAATGAAAATAAAAACCAACATAGTGTGTTGGACAGTACTGTCTAGCAGGTTTGTCCAAACTCTCCCATAGGTGTTCGACTGGGTTGAGATCTGGTGACTGTGAAGGCCATAGCATATGATTCAAGTCAGGGTGCCAACAACTTGTAACATAACACTCTCAAGTTAGGGGGTTACCTAAAAAAAGATGCTCACTTCATTCAAAGAGGCCGCCTTCTACCAGTAGTTGGGTAGCATCCATATTGGATCAGATGGTAGCTTAGAAGGAAGATTTTACATGGTCAGGGTTTCTACACCTAGAAAAAAACCTTTCATGCTACAATCACTAATATAATTAAAATATGCCACACTTGGTTATTAGTACAAGAATGGATGGGGGTGAAATCAAGTTCTTGAGCAGCTTTTACACAGCTGACATTTTTACTTGTCAGTGTAGGAAAAATCACAGGTGTTGTTAATGGCACATATCTGAGCGTGAGCCAGCATACCCAATATCAGGATCCTGAAACCAAAGCAGCTAAATTTAATTCAAAATCGGTTTTATTATTTTCACCTGTGTTTTTCACTGTGAAATGTCAAAAACTCTTCTTGAGGTTTAGATGCGACAGAACAAATTTTGTGACATGATAAAGCATGTAGCATATACTTGATCATTGCTTTATAGTATGAATATCTAAAAATGGCACAGAAAGCAGTGTGTTAGGTTGGCTAAATATTGAGTTTGTCTATTGCAGCTTCATAATGTCTGAGCTTTTTATGGAGTGTGTTGAGGAGGAGCTGGAGCCGTGGCAGAAACAAGTTCCAGAAGTTCACTTGATTGATGATGATGATGATGAACCCATCTTCGTTGGAGTGCTCTGTATGTCATACTACTTTTTTAAATATGTTAATGTTAAGCACTTAAACACTTAGGGCCCTATCTTGCAACAAACACATGGCATGCAGCGCAGGTAGCACATTTGTGTTTCCTAATTTCCTACCTGCGTCCATCTGTGTCCAGATGAAAATGGGGTGTCCCAGGTAAATTTTGGGCACATTGGTAATATGAGGGCACACAAAGTGACTGTGCCACTGACCAGCAAAAATCAGGTCTGTGGTCAACAGCCAAATCATCATTGCTAGTTAATGGGCACTTTGACAGTGTTGTAATGCGTACCTGTCTATGTGTGTGCACAATGCTAATGCACTGTGCTTATTATGCCCTGAAATGCGCTGCACAGGACATACAAAACTTAAAAAAAAAAAAAAAAAAAAGATGACATTGTACAGCCCTTTTGGTACTAGCATGGGCACCTTGACCATTTTTCCTCATTGTCAAATTACCAAAATGAACACGGGTACACCCAAACACCACTTGTGCGAATACATCTTGATCAGATGCCATGGCTCCTCAATATAGAGCCCCTAATGGTTTAGCTCTATAACTTCTTCATCAATAATATGAAATGTATAAGCTGGACAGACTCGGCAGACCCAAAAGTATTGTGAGGGCCTGTTGGGAACGTTTAGCAGAATCCCCTGTCAGAGAGATCTTCAACTCCCACCTCCGGCAGAGCTTTGACCAGATCCCAGGGGAGGTTGGAGATATTGAGTCCGAGTGGACCATATTTTCCGCCTCCATTGTGCCTCGAGGAGATTCTGGCAAGCCGTCCGGCGCCTCAGGAGGGGGAAGCAGTGCCCTGCCAAAACTGTTTACAGTGGACGTGGGCAGCTGTTGACCTCAGCTTGGGACATCGTCGGACGGTGGAAGGAATACTTCGAGGATCTCCTCAACCTTGGCACCATGTCTCCCGATGAGGAAGCAGAGGCCGAGGGCTCCGAGGTGGACTCGTCCATCACCCAAGCTAAAGTCACCGAGGTAGTTAAGAAGCTTCTTGGTGGCAAGGCACCGGGGGTGGATGAGATCCGCCCCGAGTACCCTAAGTCTCTGGATGTTGTGGGGCTGTCACACGCCTCTGCAGCGTTGCATGGCTTTTGGGGACAGTGCCTCTGGACTGGCAGACCTGGGGTGGTGGTCCCTCTTTTCAAGAAGGGGGACCAGAGAGTGTGTTCCAACTATAGGGGGATCACACTCCTCAGCCTCCCCGGGAAAGTCTATGCCAGGGTACTGGAGAGGAGAATTCGACCA